CGGGCGATTCTTCAGCGATTTTCGGATCTTTATTCTATCTTTCTCTTTATTTATTTATTTTCCGTAGGTTTTAAAGGGGTATTGAAATTAAATCTCAAAAATGAGATTATTTCATATTTAAAATCTTGGCCGTGTCCAAGTAAAAATTTGGTGCCTTGTGCGTTATTTAACGAAACGAAAAATTATTTCGTTAGTTAGGATAACGCATTGTCATCCAAATTTGGCTTGGCCCGTCTTATACGTTAAATTTATATTTATATTACAGAGCCTTGTTAAAACTCTTATATTTGATACACGCTGGCTTAAAAAATGCGTTTGTTTACCAACATTAATATATCAGAGAAAAGTATAGAATCGAAAGGATCTGAATAGCTCAGCTGGAAGAGCAGTCGCCCGGCAAGCGAAAGGTCTCGGGTTCGATTCCCGATTCAGCGATTTTCGGATCTATATTTTTCTCTTGCATTCATTTATTTATTTTCCGTAGGGGGGTTAAAGGGGTATTGAAATTAAATCTCAAAATATGAGATTATTTCATATTTAAAATCTTGGCCGTGTCCAAGTAAAAATTTGGTGCCTTGTGCACCGGTATTTAATTCTAACGAAAAATTATTTAGTTTCGTTAGGATAACGCATTGTCATCCGCGATTTGGCTCTTGTTGCCCGTCTTATACGTTAAATTTATATTTATATTACAGAGCCTTGTTAAAACTCTTATATTTGATACACGCTGGCTTAAAAAATGCGTTTGTTTACCAACATTAATATATATAACAGAGAAAAGTATAGAATCGAAAGGATCTGAATAGCTCAGCTGGAAGAGCAGTCGCCCGGCAAGCGAAAGGTCTCGGGTTCGATTCCCGATTCAGCGATTTTCGGATCTATATTTTTCTCTTGCATTCATTTATTTATTTTCCGTAGGGGGGTTAAAGGGGTATTGAAATTAAATCTCAAAATATGAGATTATTTCATATTTAAAATCTTGGCCGTGTCCAAGTAAAAATTTGGTGCCTTGTGCACCGGTATTTAATTCTAACGAAAAATTATTTAGTTTCGTTAGGATAACGCATTGTCATCCGCGATTTGGCTCTTGTTGCCCGTCTTATACGTTAAATTTATATTTATATTACAGAGCCTTGTTAAAACTCTTATATTTGATACACGCTGGCTTAAAAAATGCGTTTGTTTACCAACATTAATATATATAACAGAGAAAAGTATAGAATCGAAAGGATCTGAATAGCTCAGCTGGAAGAGCAGTCGCCCGGCAAGCGAAAGGTCTCGGGTTCGATTCCCGATTCAGCGATTTTCGGATCTATATTTTTCTCTTGCATTCATTTATTTATTTTCCGTAGGGGGGTTAAAGGGGTATTGAAATTAAATCTCAAAATATGAGATTATTTCATATTTAAAATCTTGGCCGTGTCCAAGTAAAAATTTGGTGCCTTGTGCACCGGTATTTAATTCTAACGAAAAATTATTTAGTTTCGTTAGGATAACGCATTGTCATCCGCGATTTGGCTCTTGTTGCCCGTCTTATACGTTAAATTTATATTTATATTACAGAGCCTTGTTAAAACTCTTATATTTGATACACGCTGGCTTAAAAAATGCGTTTGTTTACCAACATTAATATATATAACAGAGAAAAGTATAGAATCGAAAGGATCTGAATAGCTCAGCTGGAAGAGCAGTCGCCCGGCAAGCGAAAGGTCTCGGGTTCGATTCCCGATTCAGCGATTTTCGGATCTATATTTTTCTCTTGCATTCATTTATTTATTTTCCGTAGGGGGGTTAAAGGGGTATTGAAATTAAATCTCAAAATATGAGATTATTTCATATTTAAAATCTTGGCCGTGTCCAAGTAAAAATTTGGTGCCTTGTGCACCGGTATTTAATTCTAACGAAAAATTATTTAGTTTCGTTAGGATAACGCATTGTCATCCGCGATTTGGCTCTTGTTGCCCGTCTTATACGTTAAATTTATATTTATATTACAGAGCCTTGTTAAAACTCTTATATTTGATACACGCTGGCTTAAAAAATGCGTTTGTTTACCAACATTAATATATATAACAGAGAAAAGTATAGAATCGAAAGGATCTGAATAGCTCAGCTGGAAGAGCAGTCGCCCGGCAAGCGAAAGGTCTCGGGTTCGATTCCCGATTCAGCGATTTTCGGATCTATATTTTTCTCTTGCATTCATTTATTTATTTTCCGTAGGGGGGTTAAAGGGGTATTGAAATTAAATCTCAAAATATGAGATTATTTCATATTTAAAATCTTGGCCGTGTCCAAGTAAAAATTTGGTGCCTTGTGCACCGGTATTTAATTCTAACGAAAAATTATTTAGTTTCGTTAGGATAACGCATTGTCATCCGCGATTTGGCTCTTGTTGCCCGTCTTATACGTTAAATTTATATTTATATTACAGAGCCTTGTTAAAACTCTTATATTTGATACACGCTGGCTTAAAAAATGCGTTTGTTTACCAACATTAATATATATAACAGAGAAAAGTATAGAATCGAAAGGATCTGAATAGCTCAGCTGGAAGAGCAGTCGCCCGGCAAGCGAAAGGTCTCGGGTTCGATTCCCGATTCAGCGATTTTCGGATCTATATTTTTCTCTTGCATTCATTTATTTATTTTCCGTAGGGGGGTTAAAGGGGTATTGAAATTAAATCTCAAAATATGAGATTATTTCATATTTAAAATCTTGGCCGTGTCCAAGTAAAAATTTGGTGCCTTGTGCACCGGTATTTAATTCTAACGAAAAATTATTTAGTTTCGTTAGGATAACGCATTGTCATCCGCGATTTGGCTCTTGTTGCCCGTCTTATACGTTAAATTTATATTTATATTACAGAGCCTTGTTAAAACTCTTATACCCTGAGATTATATTCACACGAGCGGACAAAGGCAACGTCACTGTGGCAATGAATAAATTAGATTATGTAGACAAACTAAAACATATGTTAAATGATATAGATACGTATATAGAAGTACCGAAAAACCCTGATAAAAAAATTGAACAAGAACTTAATGACATTCTTAAAAAATGAAAAAACAAAAAATATATTACACCTCAGCAATATTTTAGATTCAGATCTAGTGACGGGCCTTTGCCAAATATATATGGTTTACCGAAAATACACAAAGAAGAGTTTCCGCTAAGAATCATTGTTTCTGCGTTAAATAGTCCTCTATATAACATTGCGAGTTTTGTTCAACGAACTTTACTTAAAAGTCTTCCAACAGCGAGAAGTCATGTTAAGAATAGCTTCCAGTTATACAATAAATTGTCAAATTTAAAGATAGATGACACTTATATGTTGGCTTCCTTTGATGTCATGTCCTTGTTCACAAATGTACCGACGGATTTGGCGATGAAGAGTATTTCTAATCGTTGGTCGTACATTGAAAAATTCACTAATATACCTAAGAATAAATTTTTACATATGACGAAATTTATTCTCGATTCCACTTATTTTTAATTTAATAATACAATTTTTAAACAAACATTTGGAACACCTATGGGTTCTCCACTATCGCCTATTGTGGCTAATCTTTTATTACAAGATTTAGAAAATAAAGTTTTATATAAATTTGACAAAGATATTAAGTTTTACTACAGATATGTTGATGATATTCTAATTGCGATCAAAAAAGATGCTTTACAGAACACATTAGATATGTTTAATTCATTTCACGATAGAATCAAATTTACATATGAATTTCAAGATAATGGATCTATAAACTTTTTAGATTTAAAAATTTATACCAACAATAATAGGATTATAATAGATTGGTACCAAAAAAATTCTTATTCGGGCAGATATCTTTCATTCTATTCAAATCATCCTACCTGCCATAAAATTGGTACTATCTACAGTTTAATTGACAGATCTATATTATTATCACATCCTAAATTTCACCAAAAAAATATAAAATTTAACATCAATATTTTATTAAGTAATGGATATCTTCTTCAGTTTATATTCAAATATGCTATTTCCAGAATAAAAAGTTTAATATTCACTAAATTAAACAATGCTAAATTTAATGTTAATGACAATATTACTAATAAAAAGGAGAAAAAATTCATAGCTGTTCCGTATATTGCAGGGTTGGGCATTTATCCGTAAACTACAATAGTCTACGTCTACGCGTAAAGAATGTAAACTATGTATGCCATGTAATCTATGTCAATTTGAGTGCAGAGCCATCTACAATAGATGCAATAAGCATTAAGCCGCACGAAATATAATTTATCCAATCGAAAATATCGAAATAACATATTTGCTTTACACTTAAAGGAGGCTATATTTATGTTATTTTGTGTGCAACAATGCCTCGAAAAATAAACAAAGGTTTTAATGAATTAGATTTTATACCAGTGAAAAAAGAAAATAAATATTATGCCTATTGTACATACTGTAAACTAAGTGAACTAAGCAATACTGCCTTTTGCCGTTTACAAGCTCACAGGTAATTATAATATTTCTGAATTAATTTCCTTATTCTAGTCTGCATATGTCTTTTATATTATTATATAATTAAAATAATTATAAAAAGTATATTACACAATATATTTATAACCTAACTTAACACATTCATATAATTTAACCTAAGTTAACACTTTATTTTATTCTAAATATATCCTGCTGAAAAATTGTACTTTTATTTTTGTAGAACAATATATAAAAAAACACAAGAAAATCTATTTTCTGGCACTGCTACATGTAGTAATATCGACATTGAAAATACTGAAATTGTATTTGAGAATAATAACATGGCTGGAACAAAATCTTCTCGCATGGAAACTCAGTTATGTAATTCTAGTTCTGATGAGGAAGATATTCAGGTAATTATATCAGTGCATTGTCTATTATATAGGTATATATATACAGATGTGTTGAGAAAAAGAAGTGATTGCGACTATATCAATAAGTAAAAAATATACACATGTGTATGTACTAAAGTACTAATTATACATTTCTTTTACAGATTACTGATATCACAAATAAAAATGTAACCAATAAAGAAAATATTTCAAATATTTTAACATCAAATAAATCTAAGGCTGCACAAACCTCAGATATAGCCTCACGAACTTTAAAACGAAGAAAAAAAGAAGAATTACTGAGTGATTTTGTAGATAAAGTTTCAAATGAACAGTTAGATCAGTTTCATACAAAATTAAGTACCTTCTTTTTTGGCTGTAATATTCCTTTTAATGTTATTGAGTCAGATCATTTTAAAATTTTATTGAAGCTCTTCGACCTGCATATGCGATACATTTACCAGGGCGCAAAGCCTTGTCAACAATTTTATTAGAGAAAGAATATGAACGATGTCTCAAACTGTCAAAAGAACTTATAAATTCCCAATCTGTGCTTCTTATAGATGGAAAAATACTTCTAATAATACAAAAACTGTTGTTACTATGTTACATAATGCTAAAGGATCGACCGCATTTCTTAATGCATGGGATATGACTGAAGAAAGTGAAACAGGTGATAAACTCACCGAGATTGTAAATGAATCCATCCAAATAGCAAAAGATTTATATGAGACAACAGTATATGCAGTAGTATCAGATAATGCTGCAAATATGTTAAAAATGGGTAGAAATGTTGATATTTGGCATAGCACTTGCAACAGCCATACTGCAAATTTGCTTGCAAAAGACGTCACGAATGAAACGCTCACAAAATGTGTTAAATTCATTTTGAAAGAATTCAAACATTCACTCTTCGAAAAAGCTTTAGTTAATATAGGAGGTACAAGAATAATAACTCCTTGTGATACCCGTTGGTGTACATATCGAGATTCCTATGTTTGTCTTTTGAAAAACATTCCTTATATGAAAAGATTAATAGTTGATGATGATCGATTTAAAACAATGAAAACAACAGTCAAAGCAATGATATTTGATGACTTTCTAGATGATGTTAAGGATAACATTCAGATTTTTGATCCAATATGTAATTTAATAAACTTTGCACAAAAATATGAATCATCAGCTGCGGAGGTAGTACACCTTTGGTTAACTCTTCATTTTCCAGAAAAATTTTGCAACTTCCAACCTTTATTAGAAAATCGAAAAAAATGGCATTTAATATTTATGTACTTGTAGCATATTATTTGCATCCAAAGTACCATAATGATACAAGTGAAACGTTGTCAGTTGAAGAATTACAAAAAATACAGACTTTCCTTTTAGATACTCTTGATTCAAAAGGAGTACATGAACTTCATGAATTTCAATCGAAAAATGGTATTTTTAAGACTTTGTTCAATAAGCACATTGAAGATGCAATACTTTTTTGGAGTATGGCAAAACTTCATCATCCAAATTTATCTACTTTGGCATTAAAATTAGAAAGACTGCCTGCATCATCAGCTCAAATTGAGCGAATATTTTCAAATTGATCCTTTGTACATTCGCCCATACGAAATCGTTTAGATTTCGAACGATCCAGAAAACTGTTACACATATATTACACTCACAAAGTTACTGATTCAAATATTTGCAATGATTATTAAAAAATATATTAATTTTATAGATTAATGTTTTTTTTAATAAGTGTTATAACTTATATAATCTAAAAGCACAAAACAAGTTTAAGTTCTAAAATTGTTATGTTCAATATATATGACATATATTATATTACTTTATAAAATTTATAGTTACGTTCAACATATATTAACTATATAGATAAGTTTAATTGTTTCTTTTATTATAATTATATAGTTACCAGTTGTTTATAAGAAAAAAGCGTGATATTAAAAAAGAACACGTGCAATTATTCATGTAAATGTAAAACAAATGAGTTTATTTTTATTTTTGTTAGTAATTAGACTTTTTGTAATGAAAACTTTTTGTGTATTGTAATAGAAAATAAAATTTAATTACAAAATAAAACATTCATTTTTATATGTATCTAGAAACCTACTATGTAATATAATAAAACAATATAAATAATGTTATTAGTTATTATTTATTAGATTACTGGCGGCCTGGCGCACGTTACACGTCCATGTCCATACACATAACTTTTTTCAATTTTTAACATTATAAATATTTTGTTAATTAATAATAAAATTGTATAAAAATACTACATTTACTATTTTATAATATAATCTTTGCATTCTGTCATCTAATTAATCTAATTTATAAAATTTGCATAGTTTACATTAGTATAAAAAAAGTCCATGTAAACATCACGTAAACAATACGTAAACAATGGATGTAAATGTAATTTTGAAATCTACGGCACAACCCTGGTATATTGGTGGATTATCAGAGGGAGTATGCGAAATTTTCAAAAAAAAACAGAATATGCCACAGGCTTCAAATGTTTCCATCGTCTAAATAAATTTATTAAGGTGCATAAGGACTCGGCACCAAAGATGGAGACCAATAATGTTATCTATAAAATTAATTGTAACGATTGCAATGCGACTTATGTTGGTCAAACAAAAAGACAATTGAAGACAAGAATAAAGGAACATAAAAATAATATTAGATATTTACACACGAAACCTTCGGTAATATCTGAACATATTATCAGTGAAAATCACTCTATTGATTGGGAAAACATAAAAATTCTTGATCGTGAACCCAATCATTATAAACGATTAATATCAGAGATGATTTTCATAAAACAACAAAACAGAGGTTTAAATAAAATTGAAGATTTAGATACATTAGATACAGTACCGGCTTTAGGGTAGGGCGCAGTGGGGCGACTGCCCGGGGCGCCGGATCTGTAGGGGCGCTGCTGCCCGGTGCTCCATAGAGTCCCTCTAATAAGATGTCGCGACTCTTATTAGAGGGACTCTAGTGCCCCCTAGTATGCAAGAGTACCTATATCTCCTTACTGTGTTATACCCTGACATGCTCTCTATACCTTTGTATATCTTTTGATTCTTTTGTCTCACATCTGTATTTATCATGGCTATCGCGTTCTCCGCTTTGTGCGGATCTTCATCGCCACGCTTGACGCTCGACTCCCTCACCACGCGGGCGCCTTCCACCGCTTTGCGCATACTCGTACGATTGGTAGGGCGCTCCCACCACCTGCAAAGCGCGCGTAGTGGGGATCGTTGCAGCTCCCGTACTTGTTTACTTGTTTGCATGCGGTCTGGAATCTAGAATTCTGGACTCAAGCGGTGCTCGGTCCTCTAAAAAGTCTCTAAGTCTCTAAGCTTCCTTTTTTTTTACTGATTAATTGCATCAGTAATTAGTAAGAAAGATTTTTTTTCAACATGTCCGACCATAGAGTGAAAAAAAACCATCTGGTTCGGAATACCGAAAACGCAAGGCTGAAAAAGAAAAAGAGTTTCAGCAAGCCAAAAATTTATGAGTCTCGATAAATATATTGAAACAAAACAGCGAAACGAAAATGAAGGTAATTTAGAAGGTGTTGCTTCATTTTCTACTGCCTCTACATCAGTAAAAGAACCCTCCACCGAGCTTCAGGGCATAACTGAAACGAGAATTGATGAACTCTTCAATGAAAGTAAAATTTCATCAGACCTGACTCCCATATCCGAGCTTCCTCAAAATCCTGATGACTCATTATCATTTTCAGGAATTACTAATGCATCATTAGAGCTTGGTACAGTTAATTTATCAGATGTAGGTACTTGGCTGGCTATTCGGAATAGCAAAACTATTGACTATATAATAACTATGGGTCCAACGCAGATTCACATTGATCGAGATAACTTTCCGAAAGATGAAACCGGTCGTCATTTCTCAAGTTCTCACTACTCTAAGAAACTTGCAAATAATGAAACAATCCAACGTCGTTGGTTAGTTTACTCTATTTCTAAAGATCGTGTTTTTTGTTTTTGTTGTCGGCTTTTCAATAGTTAGTCAGCATCGAGTTTAGTGTCTGAAGGATATAATAAGTGGAAACATTTGTCTGAAATTCTGAAAATGCATGAAAACAGCACATTCCATAAGAAATTTTACCATCAATGGTTTGAAGCTGAAATGAGATTGAAGAGAGGAAAAACGATCGATTGTGAAGAACAAAAATTGATTAGCAGAGAAACATTACGGTGGAATAATGTTTTGATTCGGTTGATGAATATTGTTCTTTACCTCGCTGAAAATAATATGGCGTTCAGAGGAACCTCAGACAAATTATACACACCGAACAATGGAAAGTTTTTGGGACTAGTACAATTAGTAGGCAAGTTTGATCCGATTATGCAAGAACATTTGAAGTTGGCAATGTCGGGTGATATTTCAGATCACTATTGCGGAAAGAATATTCAAAATGAATTAATAGATTTGATGGGTGAAAAAGTCAAATCTGAAATTGTATCGAGAGCCAAAAACTCTAAATATTATTCTATCATAGCTGACTGCACTCCAGATATAAGTCATATTGAACAACTTTCTTTAACAATTCGATTTGCTGACTTATCAGATGACAATATAAGCATAAAAGAGCATTTCATAGAATTCATTCCTGTCGGTGACTCTAGTGGCGCAGGACTTACTGAAGTAATTCTAAATGTGCTAAATAAACACGGACTTGAACTGCACAATTGTAGGGGTCAGGGGTATGATAATGGAGCAAACATGAAGGGAAAAAATATTGGTGTACAAAAAGAATCTTAGATTTAAACCCCTTGGCTTTCTTTGTACCGTGTGGCTGCCATAGCTACAATCTCGTATTGTGTGACGCTGCTAAATCGTCGGTAAAGTCAGTTACTTTGTTTGGGGTTTTGCAGAGATTGTTCACACTGTTTTCTGCTTCTGTTAATCGATGGAAAATCTTAACCGATCACTTAGGACTCTATAGTTTGAAAAAACTGAGTGACACACGTTGGGAAGCAAAAATAAACAGTGTAAAAGCAATCCGCTATCAAATTTGTGACGTTCATGCTTTAGTTACTTTGGCTAACAAAACTGAGAAAAGTGATGTTACTATCTCGCACGAGGCAATCACTTTAACAGAACAGTTAAAAGATTTTGGCTTTATAGTTTCCCTAGTTGTTTGGTACGACATTCTTTTTCAAATCAATGTCGTGAATAAATCTCTGCAGTCAAAAACCGTGGACCTCAGTAAATGCACAGAAATGCTGGAAAACTGTTGCAATTTTTTAGAAGAATACCGAAAAATTGGTTTCAAGAAAGCTCTTTCAACAGCAAGGGATCTGGCGAATGAACTACAAATCGAGCCTGTTTTTAAACCAATGAAAAAAGTACGACGCATAAAACGCCAGGCTGGTGAAATGGCCACGGACGAACCTATCGAATCCCCAGAGAAAAAATTTGAAATTGAATTTTTTAATAAATTGTTGGACGTCTCTTTAATGTCAATAAAAGAAAGGTTCAGACAGTTACATAACTATTCAGAAACATGGTCTTTTTTGTACAATATAAAAAAGATACCTGAAAAAAATGAACTTCTGAAATTCTGTACTGATCTCCAATTAAAACTTACTGTTGGTTCCGATTCCGATATAGATGGTTATTTATTGTGTGATGAACTCATAAGTCTTAAAAATTTTTTTCCAGATGACGATGATATTACTCCCATTTTCGTTTTAAATTTTATTAAACAGCGCAATATTTATGAACTATATCCAAATGTATGGATCGCGTTGCGCATTTTGGTAACTATACCTGTAACGGTAGCTAGTGGAGAACGCAGTTTTTCGAAACTTAAGTTAATAAAGACTTATCTACGATCAACGATTTCACAGACAAGACTTACTAACTTAGCTACTCTTTCAATTGAAAATGAAATTGCCGCAAACTTGAATTTCACCGATTTGATTCGAGTGTTTGCCGATAAAAAGGCCCGAAAAGTGAAATTTTAATAAACTTCCGTAATCTCTCAAAAACTCTAGTTTAAGCTTTGTCCTCTAAGAAACCCGAAATAATAAAAATATATAAAATACAAAAAAATACAAAAATAAAAATATAAAAAAAATATAAATATATAAAAAAACAAAAACAAAAAAAGAGCTACAAAAACTTTCTACGTCCACGTCGTTAGCTCTGGTAAAGCTAAAGGAAAATTTTCTGAATTTTTATATGCGTGCATTCGTTTATATCCGTTCAGGCTAGTAAAGATATCGAAAATTGAATGGGCGCCACGATAATCTTGCCCAGGGCGCCAATGTTGCTAAAGCCGGCACTGATTAGATAGCAGTTATTTTCCTTTATTGGAGACTTACTAACAAAATTTTCAAACAATTTCTACAAAACATGTTTACCAATTAGCAGTATATATATATAGAGTGCCAGGTCGCGACTCGTATTACTTTTGTATTTACAACATGAGTATCAAGATGTTCTATCTTTCTGTGACTAGTGTCAATCTATGGTTTTTTAATTTGGAAGTTAAGGTAAGAGTTATATTATAAGTTACTTGAATTTCGATTATAATGTTTGAAGAAGTGTTAGATGTAATAACAAATTTTAATAATAGAAATCGCGAGACCTAGGACATATTTGAGGAGAATTGACTTAATACGGATCGCATCGTACTGGCTTAACCAACGTTTCACTATGTTTTAACTAATTATGACTGAAGAGACGCAAGTAAGCGTCAAAACGTCTCATTGTATTATTGTAAAGTAGATTTATATGATTTGATGTAAAGTTTGGAAATATATATGTTTGACATCAATTCACACAGCTCGTAATAGGCTCATGTTGTTT